AGCTGTGAGGCAGAAACTGTCAATGTTCGATCAATTCAATTTCGGAGCTTCTCAGATGCAAAACTGTTGAAACTAAATTAAAATACATTTGATAAGTTTGTGGAGAATTCATTCATTTGGCTTCAAATAAAGTTTGATTGGCGTTGAAATCGGATGAAAATTAACGGAACAGGGAGGCAAAAACTGTCTCAGTGTAATTTTTGGTTTTTCAATGTTTCGATAATTTCAATTTTGAAATTTCTCAGGTGCAAAACACTTGAAACCAAATTAAAATCCTGATTAATAAGTTTGTGAACAATTTAATTGGCTATAATTAGAGCCTAATTGCGTTGAAATCGGAAGAAAACTAAAAAAGCTGTGAAGCAAAAACTGTCTCAGTGTCATTTTTGGAAAATTTTCAATGTTCCATAATTTCAATTTTTAAACTTCTCAGCTACAAAATTGTTGAAACTAGATTAAAATTTCAATTACCAGATTTGTACAGTATGTAATTGGCTTTAATTAGAGCCTAATTGCGTTGAAATCGGAAGAAAATTGAAGGAGCTGTGAAGCAAAAACTGTTTCAGTGTCATTTTTGAAAAATTCTCAATATTCGATCAATTCAATTTTAAAGCTTTTCAGGTGCAAAACAGTTGAAGATAAATTAAAATCCTAAATAACATATTGTGAAAATATCACAAAAGTGAATCATCACAAGAATTAGCCTCTGAATTACCTGTGAAAATGTTAATACATAAAAAACATGTCTATCTCGACATGAGAATTTGCCAACTTAGAAGCCCTAGACCAGAAGTTGCTATATGCATATTAAGTTCTGTGTCTTGGAACAAAGAACCTGCGAGTAGATCACGTGACTCTAAAGGAGACATGAATTTTAACAGCAATTTCTCAGCAAAACTGGAGGAATGCCATCGGACCAGCGCTTTTGTCAATTTTGAGGCCGGAAAACTTCTCGTAAAGTTTCAAAGTTTAAGTCAACGTCACATGAGAGTGGAGCTAATGTTTTCAAGTTGATAAGTGGAGGAGGATGGTATGCATCTGGGAGGATTAACAGTATCATCAGGATCCTGTGATAGTATCAGGTCAAGCAGGTGTCGATTGGTTGTCAATACAGAGTTTATCTGAAACAGGTTATGGAAAGAGCACGTGACTGATAGTTTGGCAATAAGTGACGCTACTTGATCATGCCGTACCCCATGCATGTGGAGGCTTCACAGTGGAGCTCAGAGAGGTGGCTTCTAAGATTCCATTCGGAAGATTAAAATCTCCCAACACATAAATAGGTGAATTCGGAGATGCATCAGACACTGAGTATCAAAGAAGGTAGTATAGGCAGCAACACTGGATCTTGCTGGCAAGTAAATTGTTCCTAATATAATATTTCCATTTGCAGGGCTAATCATACATACAATTGTTCAATCGTGGAAGATCGAGAACTCTACTTGCTATACTCTTCCGGACACTGAACAGCGGTCAAGACACAAAAATGTCAATAATGTCATAATAAAAAGTCTGTTTATTCTCCAGAAGGTAACTTAGTTTAGTACGCAAACCCCGCACGGACTGATAATTATGTTAAGTATTCAATTATTGGTTCTCGTAATTTTCTAGTGTTTAACAGGTTCTTCTGATTTTGCTAAAATTTCATGTTTTCTAGCCAAAAATATCAAGATAAACCTTTGGCCATGCTTTTTTTCTTTGGTTCTGTTTGATTTCTTTTTCCAATAACTTGCCTGCTAGAAATAAATATTTTCGTCGTAGAATCATCTTATAATCACGACCCAGGGTTGGTATACACAAAAACCCAGTGGACTTTGAAAATAATTTGTATTAATAAACTATTAAACAAATAATGGAAACTAAATTGAAATCTTAATAAACAGGTTTGTAGAAAATTTAATCGGCTTTAATTTGGGTTTAATTACATTGAAGTCGGATGAAAATCAACATAGCTGTGAGGCAAAAACTGTCTCAGTGTCATTTTTGGAAAATTTTCGATGTTCGATAATTTGAATTTTGAAACTTCTCAGCTGCAAAATTGTTGAGACTCAATCGAAAAATGAACAGATTTGTAGCGAATTGAACTGGCTTTAATTGGGGGCTGATTGCGTTGAAATCGGATGAATATTAAAGGATCTGTGAGGCAAAAACTATCTCAATGTCATTTTTGGCAAATTTTCAATGTTCGATAGTTTAAATTTTGAAGCTTCTCAGGTGCAAAACTGTTGGAACCAAATTCAAGTCCTAATTAATGAGTTTGTGAACAATTTAATTGGCTTCAATTGGAGCCTATTTTCTTTAAAATTGGAAGGAAGTTAAAGTTCAATGTTCGGTTTTTTGAATTTAGAAACTTATCAGCTGCAAAACTGTTGCATCTAAACTAACTAAAATCTCAATCAATAAGTTTGTGAAGAATTTAATTGGCTTTAATTAGAGCCTAATTGCATTGAAATTAGACAAAAATTAAAGGAGTTGTGAGGCAAAAACTGTTTCATTGTCATTTTTGGCAAATTCTCAATGTTCGATAATTTCAGTTTGAAGCTTCTCAGGTGCAAACTTGTTGAAACTAAATTGAAATCCTAATTAATGAGTTCACAGAGAATTTAATTGGCTTTACTTAAAGCCTAATTACATCGAAATATGATGAGAATTAACAGAACTGTGAGGCAAAAACTGTCTCAGTGTCATTTTTGGAAAATTATCAATGTTCGATAAATTTAATTTTGAACCTTCTCAGGTGCAAAACTGTTGAAACCAAATAAATATCTTGATTAATGAGTCTATAGAGAACCTAATTAGCTTTAATTAGAGCTTAATCACATCGAAATCGGATGAAAATTAACGGAACTGTGAGGCAGAAACTGTCTCAGTGTCATTTTTGGAAAATTTTCAATGTTCGATTATTTGCATTTTGAAATTTCTCAGCTGCAAAGCTAAACTGTTGCAACTAAGTGAAAGTTCCATTTGACAGATTTTGTAGAGAATTCAATTGGCTTCAATTGGAGTCTAATTGCGTTGAACTTGGAAGAAAATTGAAGGAGGTCACAATAACCGCAAAAACCCCAAAACACAACAGAAATTTTCAAAAAATCGGGCTCTTGCCACCCCTCTGTCACTACCTAGATTCTGAGGAAAATTTCTAGAGTAGGTAATAATTTTTGATACCAACCTCTAAATCTAACTTACTCCTTCTCAACTGCAATTTTTAAGTTTAAAAATTCGAAAAACTACACTTGGTAAGTAGGTACCTATGAAAGGATATTATTATACAGGTCAATCAATCGCAATAATTATAATAATGAAAGATCTTGGGAAACCATAACGGTATTATTGTTACTATCATTTCATTGAGTATTAATAAAAATATTACCTACCTATTTACATGGTGTATGGTGTTTTTTGAATCAGTACAAACATGTGGTCTATTTCGGAAAAAAGCATCATGAGAATTGGGCGATCACTTTAACTCCATAATTAATCCACTAGATCCTATCGAAAAGATCATGTTCCATGTTAGTAGGTGGTGTTCGAAAAAAGTTAAAAAACATCAAAGTTTGAGTTTGAGAATAAAATACATAAAATGTTCGATTTTCAAAACTTCCAATTTTCTGAGGATTTCTGTGCAAACTCTTCTAAATCTGATAGAGAATTCCATGGTCTTCCAGAGGCTTTCTCCAGGATTTTCCAATAAAATCTTAACTTCAATTATTAAACGGCTCAAAAAATCTTTGATTCAAAAACTATCCTGTAACTAATACATCAAATTTTTATAGTAAGATATGAATGGATCCTTTAATATGTGTTTATTACATCTCTGTATTTTTCCGTGTATTTATTCATGTAGTCCAGGGTGTCAACATTATATTGTTTTCAATAATGCTGATTTATGTTGCGTTTGGAGTTTTTCGGTTGTCACCCTGAACTACATGAAATACACAGATGTAATATAAACATTAGTCCATTAAAACCTCAATAAAACACTTAATGCTTGTACAGGGAGTCAAAGTTCGATAAATGCTTCATATAATAAGATTTTCATTTTTTCTAACTTTTTGGAAATACTCTATAAAGAAAATAGTCTCGAATATCCTAGAACATTTCCATGATCATCAGTACAACAAACTATAAAATACTGAAGTTTTGCTCAGGACGTTTTCCAAAAGTAAGGATATTTTTGAATTGTTGCCGTTTGCCGTATGCAAAACTTCTAACTTTTCTAACTTCTTGGAATTATACTTTATAAAAAAAATAGATTCGAATATCCTAGAGCCTTTTCATAGTCATTCAATAAACTATTTATACAGTCCACAAGTTTTATTCTCAGGACATTTTCTAAAAGTTAAGAGACATTTTTCAAATGTTGTCCTTTCACTTAATTCCTTATGAAACAACTTTTTCACTCTAGGACAAAAAACTATATTTATGATTACCTACGCTTAGGATCAAATATTTCAGATTGAAAAATAACAATATAATGGTTAGGTACTTGTCTAATACTATCACAGACATACATCATAAGTGAGCAATATTATTATGTCAAACACTACCTCCAATTTTCAATTCTGCACAACAAGTTTGAGTCAATTTGTCAGCTCATTTTATTAATATCTTCTTAATGTTAAACTAAAACGTTAATTTATCGGTATATAAATATCATTTATAAATAATTGAAGCGTAATGTGCACTTTATTTAACGCTTTTTATTATTTAGTTTTCAAATGGGTGCTGGTTGGAGTAGTACGGGAGTGATTTTCTGCCAGAATTCTCATTTGTGGATTATTTTAGACTAGAACGAAGGTATGATATATAATTTATTTGAATTGGTATATTGGTAACATTAATTTCACTAGGAAATATGTAGCAAAAATAAATCATAAATTTTACTAATATCACTTTGTAATTACTATGTCAAAACTCAAACCTATGATTTTTCCCCTATATATTTTCAGGGTTTTTTGAGTTAAATTATCAAAACTTTACAGTTTTTGTTAGAGCCTCACCAAGTACACTTATTATTACTTCCAAAGTAACCATTTCATTTTGAACTTTCTCAAAAATTCCAGCCATATTTTAATTTCATATAAATGACAAAGTAGCTGAACGAATTTTGAGTAAATTCCTAAATTAACGTTTAAATCCGCTTTAAATACAACTTAATGAAGTCTGTAGTAATGAAGACATTTTTCATTTAATACGCACTTGACTTTGGAGAAAGTTACGTCACGGAGGAAATTTGTTCAAGCGAAAATATTTTTGCAGAACATGAATGTTATCATAGTTTTGTCCAAAAACGAAAATATTTACAAAAAAAATATAAAAATTCTATAGAAAACGATTCTTTTATTTAGATAGGGTATCGTTTATTAAATATTTATTTATGATGGTGAACAGTAATTGTACAAATATTTGTTTATTTGAAGAAGTAGGTATGCTATTATATTTCTGAAGACTAAAATCTGTTGCTACAATTATAATGAATTAATAATAATAAAGGGTGGAAACTGCTGAACAACGAAAACAACTATGACATTCTTCGAAGAAATTCAACTAAATTACGGACTTGAAGCTTTAAATCGAGCAAAAGAACTTTCCAAATTATACACAAGGCTTACTACACAGAAAAACCGAAGAATATTCTTATCGAGATGCAAACACAACGAAGTTTATCCTGTATTTTTGAAATTTAATGAAAACAATCCCTTTGAAAATGCCTTAAATTAAAGGCGAAACGTTAGGATTTAAAAAGTCGTTTCATTTATGAACCTAAACCCAAGAGAAAACTAACAATAATAATAAAAGCATATAAAAGTGCAAGAAACTGTTCAAAAAACAATAAGGCCTCATGAAATGGGTACCTAGTTAATAATATTTTGAAAATTGCTATTCATATCATTATCGTCAGTTCCAGCTGTCCATTAGTTCTCAAAATTTGTCATGTTCTCTTATTCTGAGCAACCTGTCTATCTTATGAGGTCTTTTATTTCTCAGTATGTCTGATCTCAGATCTTGGACGTCACTTTATGATTTCCTTCGTCCACCTGTTATGTCCCGCCCAGTTCCATTTCAGGCACATAATAGTTTCTGAATTTTATAAATTAACTTGTGAATTAGATTAGATTAGATTTGTTTGAATGGAGATGGCGCAAAGGCCAGAGGCGTCCTCTACCACTACAACCATTTCTGACCCATCTTGAAGTCGGGGAAGTAAGCAACACGCATTACAAGCAGGATCTTGAGGATGCACCTCTGCTTATGCTGCTATATTACTACTTTATCCTGCTTCAAACCGCAACCCAGCAGAACATTCTTTTTTCGAGATACAACGATTTTTATTTTATTTGCTAACTTTACCCTTGGCAACACACTGGAAGCAGGATCGCACAAATATGTTCCTGCTTGTGTTGCTATGGTCCTGCAACATTCTTCTTTAAGCCACACTCCGGCAACATTTACTATTTTCGAGACATAGGGATTTCCATTATGGTTGGTAACTTCACACTTGGCTTGGTAAAACATTGAAAGTAGGATGGCTCCAAAATATTCCTGCTTGCATTTATATGGTCCTGCCTCAAACTGCTTCAATCACCCCAGCAACACCTATTATTTTTGAGACATCCCTACTAGCATTACAAGAGTCTAGTTGTAGGAATACGGCGAGCTCGAGACACCGTTGCCAAATGTATCGTAATAGGTGCTTGTCTCTGCATGTTGGTATTTTCGACGAAAAGATCTAATCCTTTTTTTTTATAGTAGGGGTTGGAAATGCATTATGCACGCCTAGGGCATTAATGTTCAGGCGCCCTAGGGAGTGTGGGACTCACACCCACTAAAACCCTTCCTCAACTCTTCACAATCTACCCCACTGGAACCACTTTTTAGTATTACTTCAGGAGGGGTAAGCGGATTCTTTCCTTTCTTTGTCCCTATTGCGTATGTCTGTGTATATATTCCTAATATATGTATAAGTCTCGTTTCTCATCATTATCTCTGCTATATTTTCTCTAGTTAAATTTTCTCCACAGCTTACGGCCACTGTGAAACGGTGTGCTTTGAATCTGGAGCATGGGGCAGTAAAACAGAGTATGTTCCGGAGTATCCCTCTCTTCACAAGACCAACATTCATCACTTTCCTGATTCTTTATCTTTTTTAGGTAGCTTCCAAAAATGGCATGGCCCGTCATCGCCTGTGCAATGTGGTAGTCCACTTCTCCGAATTTCTTCGTTGACCACTCTTTTACATCTCTCACAAAAAACTTTGCCCATCCGTCATACCTTAGCCATCGCTCCTGCCACCTTCCCATCAGCTCTGCCCTTGCTGCAGTCTTGTGTTCTGCGCCAGTATTTGTTCCCTTTCATTAACTAATAAGTCTATGGGGGGCTGTCCTGCTATTACCTCCACGGCCATGGTTGCCACCGTTCTATAGGCAGATGTAATTCCATCTAGTAAGCGTCTGTAGTGTTTCCATCTCAGGGCATGACTCCAGGTCGAGGCTGCGTATAAAATTGCTGACATTACAGCACTGGTTATTAGTCGTCTTCTCCTGCTTGTTGGTCCTCCTGTTCTGGGCATTATTCTGAGCAGTAGGTTTGCCATATACAGGCCCTTCTCTGCTATTTTTGCTACGTGCTTTGTCATTCTCAAGTTCGTTTCTAGTGTGACTCCTAGATATTTCACACTTTCTGATGATCCCATCATTTCTTCCTGTATGTTCATGTCAATACTCTTTATCGTTCTTGGTGTCACCAGTAGAATTGTTTTTTTTTTTCCCACATCTGCAAATTTGATGCCAATTTTGTTCAGGTATTCCGTTAAACATTTGACCGCATATTGTGCCTTATCTTGTAGGTGGTGTGCATAAGCTATTAGGCTTACACCCTCTTCAGTGTCCATCATAAGAAGCTGGTTGTTAAAAAGGTTCCACAAGATCGGTCCTTGGATCGATCCTTGTGGCACCCCACATGTAATTCTTTGGGCTCCACTATTTGCCACTATTTTTCGGTCTGATAGAAAACTTTGAAGGATTCTCACCAAGTAATTTGATATTTTGCTCTCTTTCAATGCTTCGATAAATCTTTCCCACTGAGTTGAATGCATTTTGTATATCTAGCATCACCATCATACACAGACTCCGGTTTTTTGTATGCTTTCTTTTTTATTTCCTCAACTTTAACTTTTACCTTATTTATGGCTGTTATCGTCGATTTTCCTTTCGTATATCGATGTTGATTCTCGTGATATAAGTTCTTCTCCTGCATCTCCCATTGTAGTCTATTTTTTATTATAATTTCCAGGAGTTTTCCTATTGCATTAGTCAGGCATAGGGGTCTGTATTTCGTCTCCTCTTGTGGGGTTTTCTTGGGCTTTTCTATCAGTACTAGTCTCGCTATTTTCCATATTTCAGGGAAACTGCCCCTCCTTAAACAGTCATTAAAGATTTTCAAAAATACCTGTGGGTTGCCTCTTGCACATGTCACTGCGATTCCATCTGGCCCTGCAGCTTTTTTTATTTTTATCTGTCCATAATTGCATCGGTGAGATCTTATGTTATTTCTTTCTTTTTCAGGAAGAGTTTCTCCACTTGTTCCTTTACTGTTTTTTCGTCCGGTGTTGTTTTATTTCTGAGCCTGAGCTTCTTTGTCACGATTTGATATGCCTTCCCCCAGATATCCTCATCCAATTCCCTGCACAGCTTTTTCCATTTCTCTGTTTTGCTCCTGAAGATGGGTCTTTTTAGTTCTTTTTTCTTCGCTTTATATTGTGTTTCCAGGTCTTCTATTCGTTCTGCTGGGGCATTTGCGCTGGCTCGAATTCGAGTGAGTTCTCTTCTGAGTTCGATGCACGATGATCTTTCTTCAGCGATCTCAGTATTCCACCAGTATGCTGGAGTCCGTTTACCATTATTTCCGCATTTCTTAGGAAAGCAGTTGCCGCATTTTTTTTTAAATGTTATCTATTAATATTTTCGTAGTCATTTCCTAAGGCATTTGCAAATATTTCCTCACATTCCCTAGCAAACTTCGCTATTCCTTTTGAGTTAAGCGCCATCCCGTTTGCTCTGGTATCGATTTACTGTCGCTGTCATTCTTTTCGGTCCTTATGCAGTACCGTATCTTGTTGTGATCGCTCAAGTTTTCAGAATCTATATCTACTCTACAGAAATGTATTTTTCCTGACATGTCTTCTGTGCTAGCCGTAAAGTCGATTCTGGAGCATCCTTGGCTACCGTTGAAAGTTGGTGCATTTCCCTGATTTATGACGATCAGGTTGTTAGTCATTATCCATTCTTCGAAAACTCTTCCTCTTTAGTTTATGCTCTTGGAGCCTATGATGGGTGTCTTTGCGTTAAGATCTCCCCCTATTATCACTTTCTTTTTAAGTCTTCTCAGTTGTGTTCCCATATCTGCTAGCAATGTTCTAAATTCCGCAATTTTGCCATTTGGTGAGAAGTAACACGAGACAAAAGCGCACAAGTCCAACTCTACAAGCACAAATCCTTTCCCGCTAAGGTTTTTTATCACAGTTAGATTGTTAATATTTATAAAAGCATCACTATTTATATCACAGTCATCTTTGGTATCCGATTTCAGGTTTGATTCCTGTCCTATAAGAACGTCTCTATCCTTTCTGTTATTGCAGTATTCATGAGGAGGTCTTGTGCTGCTTTACATCTGTTTAGGTTCAGTTGTAGAACCTTTATCGTTCTTATGTCCATTGTTTCAATAGAAGTTAGCTCGGTCCTGCTTTTCCCTCTCTTGTTTTTTTCTTGCCGATGCGAGCTGTACTCTGAACACCCTACATAGATCGGTGCCTGCTCTATGTCCTGCTCTCTTACATATGGGGCTCCTGTTTGTGCTGCTATGGTCCTGCCTCATCCTGCATCAAATCTGACCCCAGCACCACGTACTATTTTCGAGATACAGCGATTTTTATTTTATTTTGCTTGCTAACTTCACCCTTGGCAACACACTGGAAGCAGGATCGCGCAAACATGTTTTTGCTTGTGTTGCCATCGTCCTACATCATCCTGCTTTAAATCACACCCCGGCAACACTTTGTATTTTCGAGATATAGAAATTTCCATGATGGTTGGTGACTTCACCATTGGCTTGGCAACACATTGGAAGCAGGATCGCTCCAAAATATTCCTGCTTGCGTTGTAATGATTCCTCAAACTGCTTCAATCACCCCAACAACACCTGATATTTTTGAGATACACACTGGTAGCATTACAAGAGTCTAGTCGTAGGAAGCTCGCGAGCTCGAGACAGCGTTGCCAAATGTATTTTGTAATGGATGCTAGTCTTTGTATGTTGGTATTTTAGACGAGAAAAGCTAATTCAAGCTAACCCGTCCTCATACTAAGTGCTAGTTTTTGTATGTTGGTATTTTGGACGAAAAGAGTTTATCCAAGCTAATCCAAATTTATTATTTCGTTTTATTTCTTATCCATGGATAAGAAATAAACCGAGAGTAAGAGACGTTAGAAAGGAGGTAGCAAAACTAAAATGGAAATTCACAGGTCACAATATCAGACAGAAAGACGACCATGGAATAAATGTATCGTAAGCTGGAGACCTTGGGAAATTAAAAGAAGTAGAGGAAGACCCCAGATGAGGTATGGTCATGACCTGAAGAAGCACGCTGGAACCAGGTGGATGAACATGGCAGCAGATAGAGAGGCATGGAGAAGACTGGGGGAAGCCTACGTCCAAAGATGGACTGAAGAAGGCTGAATAGATAGATAGAACCCAAATTAACCCGTCTTCATAATGTATGCTAGTCCCCCGCCCTCCTAATAAATCTTTAAGAAAAAAATAAAAATAAACACCCTACGGAAGCGCAGAGAGGCCACCTATCCCAGGACGGGTTTATTTCCATTCAATCCTTAGATTAGCTCTTTTCACCTAAAATACCAAGACACAGAGGCTCGCATTTATTACAGAGGGACGGGTTAGTTTGGATCAGCTCTTTTCGTATAAAATACCAACATACAGAGACAAGCACCCATTACAATATATTTGGTAACGGTGTTTCGAGCTCTTCCTATTCCTACGACTAGACTCTTGAAATGCTACCAGTGGTATTAGGTGTTGCTGGGATGAAAATTGAAGCAGAATGAGGCAGGACCTCAGCAACACAAGCAGGAATATATTTGAGCCATCCTGCTTCCAATGTGGAAAAGGGTGAAGTTATGAACCATAATGAAAATCCCTGTATTTCGAAAATAGTACGTGTTAGGTGTGATTTAAAGCACGATGAGGCAGGAACATAGCAACACAAGCAGGAACATGCTTGAGCGATCCTGCTTTCAGTGCCCAATAAACATTTTTCGCAACTTATAGTAACACCAAGTTTTATACTGGTTATATAAAGGTAATAGAAGTATATACGAAAGTTTCGTAGTTTTATAATCCGTACCTTTTGGTGATGTATTTATATAACGGTTTTATATGATTACTGTAAATTACAAGTATATAATAAGGTGATATAACTGTTTCCATCACCATTTTATAAAACTTTTAGTAACCGTTACCAATGTGTTTATAACAAATTTATATAAGGTTTGCCATTACCTTATCTATATAACCAAAATACCCGTAGTTATATAGAAGTGTGATTAATCACTCTTATAGAAACTGGTAAATTGTAGTAATGGTCTAACTTTGTTATAAAACTCTTGATGATATTAATTATATTAGGCTTCTCCTATAAAACTTCGCAAACTTTAGTAAACAATGTCTGGGCTTAACATCATAACCCTATTTTTTAGTATCTCATTCTTCCGCCTTCCTCTAGTAAACAACTATATTGTAACAGGAGTTTATTTTTATTTATTATTATTATTAATCATGGATTATTTAAAAAACTGGCAGAACACAAAACAAAGCTTTCCAATATTTATATCGTTACTTCATTGATTCCGCCATGATTGTTTTGCCAAGATCAATATTACCGAATTACTTTGTGAAAATCCAATATTTGACTTATTTTATCAACAATTAATATTATTGTCAAATGGTGGCTTATACAAATTTCGTTGGTCATTAATTCGTCGCAAATAAAAAAACAAACATACCTACCTACGTATATTTTTTGAAAACCTGACATGAAATTGATTATAATTGGGTATTTTAAGGGCCCCTGCGTTTTTTCGAAGTACTACATCAATATTTACTGTAAAAAATCGTTCCCACCTACATTTTTAATCACGGAAGAGCCTAATATTAATTTAACAAAACAAACCAAGCCCTATTTTATAATTCGCTCTCTATTTTCATTTTCTAAGTTCAATCCTCTAACTACTGACTGATAATATTTCAGAAGTAGAAAAAGGCCATATCATTGTATATAAAATATGTTCGATAGAGAGAGAAATAAACCTTCGTTTTTTTTTATAACTGACAGGTGACATATTTGAGCTATTTAGAAAGTTATATAAAGGTTACCACAATATTTCTTATGGTAGAAATTTCTTGGGTTTAAGGACGGGGAGGTAACCAAAAGAAACTGTTTCTTTTGGTTACCTCCCCGTCCTTAAACCCAAGAAATTTCTACCATAATTAATAATAGGGACACGAAATGAATATTACACAATATTTCTGTTACTCTAGGTTACATGACCCAAATTTATATAGCGTTACTAAGGTTTTTGCAACCTTTATAAATGCCCCGTTTAAGCTCTTTAAGGGGTTCATAAGAGTAACAGAAAGGTTTCTGTTACCAAATATATAACTGTAGGTTATTTAAGATAGGTGATATAACATTTACGGTGACTATTATACAAACAAAAATGTTTATTGGGTGTGTTGCCAAGGGTGAAGTTGGCAACAAAAATAAAAATCGCTGTATTTCGAAAATAGTACGTGTTGCCGGGGTCAGATTAGAAGCAAAATGTATCTTGTATGGCAACCCAGAAATACCTGCTAAAGATGAAAATAGTCGTTTTTTATCTGAGGGTATCTCGAATAAGAAGCTGGCCTCCAGATCCTCCTCTATTTTCTAGCTCATGTTCCTGAAGTAAGTATACATATAGGTACTTACAGGGCTAATAAGTAATCATTTTTGGTGTTGGATAATAGTTATTTATTTATATTACAAGTGCCTTTATGAACATGATTACAATAACGAGTGCGAAAGATTAGAACGACGAGGTCGTAGACCGAGTCGTTCTAATTACACAAGTTTTGTAGTCATGTTTAAATGCACGTGTGATGTACAACGTTTTATCTACAAAGCGAAAAAGAAGGATAGGTTTTCACTTATTTTCGTTTATTAGTAGTTGTCTACCTTCATTTTACCTTTACAGGTTTAACTTTGACATTTGTCAAATCACCAAAAATAGTTGTATTACGGACTCATAACCAAGTCTATAACACCACTAGTTGTGTTATGAATTCCTAACCTAGTCCATAACACCACTAGTTGTGTTATGAGTCCCATGACACAACTCAAATACTAGAAAAATGGTTATCTAAAAACGTCATAACCCAACGCTTGTAGATAAAACATTGTATGCTACTCCTTCCTGTGTTATGTTTTCTAAGTCACTCAAGAAATTATACCACGGATACAAGACGGATTCTAGGATTTCTGGATCTCCAAGTACAACTCAAATTTTGCCTTCTGAAAATAAAGGCAATGGGTTAAAACTTCTTCAAAGAAACAGACTCAAGAACTTAAATTGTGTACCAAACGACCTAAAGAATTCACCTCAAATCTTTAATTCAATAATTACCTACTTTTATAAAACAAACATGTATCAAAATATTTAATGCATTTCAACTTGGTCATCATCAGATACCTACATGAAATGCAGAAGAATCAATGAAGGAAAGACCCAAATACAAATTCCCATTTTCAACTCATCAAAGTTGAACGAAAAAAAGTCTTAAAAAAAAACATTTAGGTAATTCAATCAAATACATTTATTAAAATCAAATATCTACAAAATACCAAAAATGTTAAGGTCAGATAAGCTCACCTAGAAAAACTAGTTAAGCAGCCAGTCAACATTAAAATCGGGTCAAAAAATCAATTATGACTTTCAAAAATTATTTACAAATATACAATATATACAATCACAAAAAATAATTTACAATTGAGTCAATCCCCCTTGACCATTCTCTTGCGGTTCCACTTCCACGGCAAAAGAATCATCAGTCCAAATAGGATAACTAGTAGGCGAATCGACAAAAGTTGCAAACTGCGGCGACATACCTTCTCTATTCTCTTGAGAGAAATATCCAATATTTTTAAATCCTGTTTGAAGTGGGGCCATTTCGTTGGCATAAGATGGTAACACTGGACTGTAGCTGCTGTGCAATGGGAAATGTGCCAACTGTTCACCGTAAGCTGGCGGTTGATGATATTGTTGTGCCGACTCGTACATATTGCCAGACCATGGAGCTGGTGGATGAAAAGCTGAACCTGCTGTTAACGGTGAAGTATACTGTCCTTGGGGTACCACTGAATGATCGAGCAAGCGCTGAGTGATACTGGGACGTTCAGTTTTAATTGGAAGAGCTCCACTTTCTGATCCGCTGCTTGCGCTTGGAGAAGAACGTTGATCGCTACCGGTTGATTTATTCAATTTGCTCTCCTTTTTGTGCTTCATGCGGCGATTTTGGAACCAAACTTTGATTTGTTTTTCGGTCAAGCTCAACTCTTGTGCTAAGTTGATGCGTTTCGGACGACAAAGGTATTTGTTGTTCAGGAATTCTTGTTCGAGTTTCACTAGTTGAAATGAGGTGTATTGGGTTCTTGCACGTTTTGAAACCATTGGCCGCGGCTTGCTCGATGGGTTTGATTTGGGCGATTGAGGATGCTCCATAGCTTGATCGTATTCTGAAAAAAAGAGGACTATATTTAGCAAATTGGTCTAATTGATGAGAAATGTAAAACACTTACTTATGGCATACCAGTTGTTGGAATAAACGTTTGATGCAGGTAAGGGTTGTTGTGCAATGATGTTATTGTTCTGTAATAGAGAAAATATATTTAGTTAAAGGTTTCTCTTGAATAAACATGCACAATTATTATGAAACAGTTAAAAAAAACAACTCACCAAAATCTCAGAATTAGGATGTTCAGCAACAAAATTATCCATTGGATAAACGCTATCCTTATACAGAAATTGTGTAGGAGCGGCGCCATAATTCCTGCAATCTCTGTAAGAATCGGGAGACGAATACGAATCACTCGGAGTAATGGGTTCCACAATCATTTCCCTAATGTCCTGGTGTTCGGCGGGGATTTCGAGAAGTTTCTGATCCAAATTGAAGTTAGACATCTTATCAAAAATAATTCACACACAAAAAAAAAACTGAAAACTTTCAAAAGCACTCTTCTGGTATTGACCCTCGGAGAACCGGTTGAAATATGACTTGACTATTGTTTTGCAAGTGGTATTTATGGAAATTATCGATGAATAAGTGACCAATCAGGTAGGAGGATTTGGGTTCCGAGACACACCCTCTCGGAACCGATAGGGATTTAACAATAAAGGCTGGTGGGGTGGGTTCCAATAATAATTGTTAGTATAGACGATTTTTAGTTTTATAGAGTCTTTACAATAATTAAATTAAGTTTCAAAAATGCAAATCTGGTACCTATAAATTCTAATTGAAATTTTATTTCTATTTTTCATATTAGGTCTTATATTTTCACTCTTTGTTAATCTTGTTTTGTAGATTGATTTATTTGTTTTATCTTAATTTTCGTTTGATGCATTTAATAGTTTTTTATTTTTCATTCTCTTCCTAATCATTGATTTCATTTTCACCTTTTCTACTTCTAATACTTTTTTCTCTATAAATTAAATTTAAGGTTTTTAAAGTTTCAGTTCAGTTTCTCAATAAGTTCGTTATTTTGACGGTGATTTCCTTAGCTTTATTTTGTTATTGTCTTACTCTTTCTTCTACTTTAACATTGTGCCTTTTTTGTTTCAAGATCGGTAGACTTTCGGGGTACTTATGGCCTTTATAAGTTGAAAATGTAAAAGAATTTGCTTCGAACTTTGAAACGTGAATTTCAACTTTGAACCTTATAACTTTGTAATGATAATAATTATTATTGATATTGAATTGGATCATTTTGTAGCCAATTCAATCCCCTTTCGAATGAAACATGATTCATTAAAATCGGTCCAGACGTTCCAGGGTTATGGCCTATTTAATGGGGTCATGTCAAGTTGGGAAATTCGAAATACAATTTTGGAATTTTTTCCGGGGTTAGGAAGCTTCAAACGAGAAAATGCCAAGAGGGATTTTCTGTTTAATTTGACCTCCTCTACTCAAAAAAAAAAAAGTTTTGGGACTTTTCGGGATCCGCTCTACAAAATGGCTAGCTTGAAATTCCGAATTTTTCTGAGTGCTTTTTTTCATAAAAACCTGGCTCCAAATCTGGGAATAATTTAGTATTTGGATATTGGGGGATTCCAAAAGACCATTTCGATACAAAATATCGACAAAAAAAAAATGAAATTTCATCGTTTTAGTAAGAAGGATTTAGATTTTGGAAAACTTTGGAAGGTCATAACTTTTTTTCAATTATAGATAAAAACCTGAAATTTTCAGCGTTTCTTATCACAGTAGAGGACTACAATCCCTGAAAATTTCAGCTTATTTGGACTTATTGTTCCTGAGATAATATCGTGTTAAGCAATGTGGGGTGATTTATCAATTTTTCAATTTTTCTGAATGCCTTTTTTCATATAATCTGGCTCTAAATCTGAGAATAATTCAGTGTATGGAGTTTGGGAGATCCCAAATGACTATTAGGTCACAAAATCTCAACAAAAAAAGTTTTGAAATTTCATCGTTTTAGTAAGAGGTTAGCTACCTTATTTTATTTAGATTTTGGAAAATTTTGAAAGGTCATAACTTCTTTTCTATTATAGATAGAAAGCTGAAATTTCCAGCGACTTTTATCCCAGTAGAGGACTACAATCCCTCAAAATTTCAGCTCATTTGGAATCAAAGTTCCTGAGATAAAATCGTGTTAAGCAATTTGGGGTGATTTTCTCATTTAAGCTAGAGGTAACTGGAAACCGTTTAAAATGCTACAGAACACTTTAGAACTTTAATAAGTACCTTTGGAAAGTTCAATTCAGAATTTCCAAAAGCATTCTGTAGGGATTCAGAACAATTTAGAAACCTCAGAATCATTTTAGAATGCTCCACAACATTCAAAAACCTATTTACTACCTCCAAAAGCATTTTGAGACAATTTAGAAGTTTTGAAACCCATTCAGGACGCTTTAAAACACTCAAAAACTCTAGAATGTCCAGAAGAATTTTGATAAGCATCGGAATCTTAGGATTCAGGTTAAAAGTTTCAGAAGACGTTCAAGACAGAATTTGAATTGCTGTAGAACTTTAAACCTTTAATAAGCATCCAAATCAGAATTTTCAGGAGCATTTTGGAACAATTTAGAAACTTCAGAGTTATTTCAGAACAATTAGGATTGAATTTAGAGCTGGAAACCTTTGAACCAATTTAGAATACTTTGGAGCTTCGATAGGGCCTCAACATACTTGAAAACACCTATCAGAACAATTATTTAGAAATTACTGGGAAACTTCTAAAATGCTCCAGAACTTTTCAAACCAACTAAGAACACTCAGAACTTCAATAAGTGGTTTAGAACGCTCCAGAACACTTTCTGGAAGCATTTCGGAACAGTTTAAAAACCCCAGATTATCTCAGAGAGCTTAGCGCCTGGAATAGACAAAAATTAACAGTTATAAAACTAGTGAATAAGGAAATATTAGCAGGAAAATGTGAAAAAAAGCCTTGAAAATATTATAAAATAGAGCTCAACAGGTGTCTTGGAAAACCGGGGAAAATGGAAAAAAAAGCTGGAAAATGGGAAAAAGAATGTTTCATACGGCTTTTGATGAAAGAATAAACAACTGGAGAACTAGCAAACAGCACAACTGAAAAACTAGCATAGAGCGTGGAAAACAGAAAAAAAAAAGGAAAATTATCGACGTTCTTCCATGTTTCTCAAAGGCAGTGAACGTTGGAAAAACAGAGTGGGACAAAAACAGCGTGGATAAACTGAAAAAAAGGACGGAAAAAAAAGAGTTTAAAAGCTGGAAAAACAGAGTGGAACAAATACAACGAGGATAATCTGAAAAAAATGAGGGAAAAAACAAGAAAAAGAACTGGGAAAAAAAGCAACATGAAAGTGGAGAAAGAACGAAAAACGGAAAAAAGAAACGATGAAATTCTTGCCAATTGGACAAAAAAAAAAAGGTTAACAAGGAGCTAGGAAGAGAGCTAAAAGGGCAAGAAAAAGCTGAAAATAGGTCTGTGGAGAAAACTAAAGAAAAAAACTAAGAAAAGAGAAGTAAGAAAACTTTAAAGACGAGCTAACACGAACTGAAATAATGCGGGAAGCGGAAAGTACTAGTGAAAAAATTGAAAAGGTTTGAAAAGTGAGAATTTTAATTATGCCAGAACCTTTGAATCTCTTTTCCTGGAAAGAAAAGTGAGTACAAACGGGGGAATTTCCATTGAAAACATGTCAAATTCTTTTTTGTAGAAAAACTGAAGAAACTTCCCAAAGAAAAGTATTCAAAGTACGTCAATGAAAAATGAAGAGAGGAGAAATGCTTGGAACGTTTCTGAATTATTCCATTAGGTAGTTAGTAAAAATGCCGTTCTCCACCCTCGTGTTTTCAGGGACTTATTCTTGAAAATTTAAGGTATTGATAATACTAAAATTTCAAGAGGATTGAGCTGCAATGATCTTGATGAAAATGATCTCTTCAATCCATAAACTTGCTGTCCTGCTTTTTTTTTTAGTAAAAATTTCCAGTAGAAAATTTTTTCGAACTTTTTCTTTAGCTTCGTCTTTATACTTCCTTATTGTTTCTTGTTTTTCTTCAGTTTTTCCTGCTAAATTTGTTTTTGTTGACTGACGATCGATAAACATGTGCAAAGTTTTTAAATTTTATGATCATCAGGTAAACCTTTTAGCTTTGTTTATGAACTTTTATCTGAGTGGCATTTTTATCTTTTTCTTCAGGTAAAACTGAAACGACAATAATATTTTTGCGGAGATAGCAAGAGAGAACAAAAGAACCTATACCTCTACCTACTTCCGTATTGGATTACAAAACAAAAACATTACATTTTTGCATTAACTTTTTGGAATAAGTATCTCAGTCTCAGTACCTAATAAAACGTTATTATTATTGCTAAAATTCAAAATACTATTTTTGTCTCCACAAAATCTTAATTCCATGACTAGCCATGGATAAGCTGTTCTGGCGTGCGTCTTGGCGACTTTCAGCACCAACAGGGGACCACTAAGTACCGGCTTGTGGTAAGGATTATACGGGATTATCCTTTTCAATGTAATGACGAAAATTAACTTTTGGTGCCCGATTTGCAGAGTTGACTTTTAACCAAAGAAACCAGTAATATGCAAGACATTTTTGACGTTTTTGATTTATTTCAAGACATGCAGATTAGGATGAAGAAGGGTTATAAACTAGCAGAAATAGATTTCTATGCTTTTGCTTTAGATTGTTCAATTTGCGCTATTTCTCATTGGGTTCAGAATAATGATACCTACTTATTGGAATAATTGACTTTGATAAGCTTTATTAATTTTGACTATAAGATCTTCGAATTTTTCTAAATCGGGCAAGTTGGATTCATTAGGTTGCAAAATAGTTTAAATCTGATACTGATACATTTGGATTGCATGAAATTATTGCCTACCCTTGCTCAAAAAGCCAAAATAATGAGACTTGCAATAATTATACCTAATGTCTAATCATTGAAAATTATATATTCAAACTGACTTAAGTTCGAAGAAGCAGGTAGGTACATGATATACTCTAATCCTTTCTCTTCAAAATATATCCACAATGTTATTCTTGATAAATGCAATTTGAATAATAAGCAACCCTGTTTCTTAGAGTCAAATGCATGAGGATCAGACTCAAGTCGGTTGCACCCCTATTTAAATAATAAGTTCGAATAAATTGACTGATTACCTGGTATTTAGGTTGCTACTGAAGGGCTATGGTGAGAATTTTGAATAAATTATTCGTGATTATTATTATTTTTGTGAAAATTTAACTTGGATTTTTATGGTTGAAAAGAAGTAGCACCCAATAAATAAAATGCATTTTTATTGTCCTCAGGGCCAGTTCTTTTGCCCTTGGTTAACGAATATTGATGAACCGATTCTGATATTTACATCAAAAGTAAAGGTATATAGTATTTATAAAGTCAGTTGAAACAAGGTAAAGGTAATTTACAACTGGTGGA